TTCATCATAAGCAAAAGTCAGCGAACCCCAGCAGGATCAGTTCTCACTAACATTCAAGCATTTGAATTATGAGCTGTAACCTTAAGATACATATGATTCAAATGATTAAATATTTAAATAAAAATTTCCAAACATTAGAAAAGAACAAAATCATCAAAAAATTTAAAAGATCAAGCAAACTAAAAGTAGAGCTTCTACAAGTGAAAATTAGAGCCAGTGAAATTAAAGGTGCAGCAGATATGTTAAACAGCAGAATAGACATTGTTGACGAGAGAACCAAATTGCTGCAAAATGAATCTTAGGAAATTACCCAGAAGATAAATAGCATTGAAAGATGATAAAATAAGAAAGAGTATTAGGAGACATGGAGACTTGGATGAGAGAGACCAGCATATACCTAAGTATTATTCCTTAACAGATGGGGGAGAAGAAAATACTTGAGATAATAGCTGAATATTTTCCAGAAGTGATTAAAGCCTCAGCTTCGAAAAACAGAGTGAGTCCCAAACAGGGTGACAGTGAAACTGCAGAACATCGCTGCCAAAGAGAAGCTCTTAACAGGCTGAATGAGAATAGAGATGAATTGGACATGGTTTCTGCTCTCATGAGGCTTATAACTTAGGGTAGATGACAGTTGTTAAAAAAACCTTGTTACAGTCGTTTCTCCTAGTCTTTGCTTTGTAACTAACTCAGGACTCAGTGGCTTAAAACAGCAATGTATTATTGTTTCTCATGATTTTGTGGTTTGGGCAATTTTGCTTCTCCTGATTGACCTCATAGAGCTTTATTCAACTGGTACATTTCAGCTAGTATATTGGCTGGGGACAGGGCTTGACTGGGATGGCTGGGTCTCTGTGTGTGGGCTTTAATCTTAGGCCTCTTCACAGCATAGTGGCCTTAGGGCAGGTGTGGAGGCCATAAGGCGTTTTTTAAGGCTAACATTTAGACATGGTGTCACTTCTCCTATCTTCTTTTGGTCAAAGCAAGTCACTAGGCTACTCCAGATTCGCGGGTTTAGGGAAATAGACTGTACCTTGTGATGGAGCAGCTGTAAAATTCAGAACATGTGTTTTTTGCTTCCTGAGTCCTCTGGTGTAGGAATCTTACACCTTTAGCTCTTAGCTAAAGACACTGTAAATGTTGGTTAGGGTACGTTATGAAGTATTACTTCCTAGACGGAAAGTTCACTTAGAGAATTTTAAAAACTTTTTAATCTTTATAGTTTCTTCTTGAAAAATCCACCTTACATTAATTAGTTGGAAGAAAGTTTTATTAAAATGGCAGATACAAAAGTTGCTCCATCTCACTTAGGCACGATTTGCCATCTGGCTTCCCGTCAGCAGCTCGTGGCCTCTAAGCTCAAGGTGCTGTGTTCAATCTTAGTTGCAGGTGGGCATAGCCACCATCCCATGCGGGAGTCGAACCAGCAGCCTTGTTGTTAAGAGCGCACGCTCTATCCACTGAGCCATCCGGGTGGCAGCTCAGCTCAAGATGCGGAGTTTAGTCTTAGTTGCAGGTGGGCATAGCCCCCCATCAAACAGGCAATTTTGTTGTTACACCAGTTCAGCCATCCTGCCACCTGTTGACAGCCCAGCGACAGCTCAGCTCAGGCACAGTGTCACTGGCTCATGTAGGAATCGAACCAGCGGCCCTGTTGCTCAGAGCTCGCGCTCTTAAGCCAACTCTTAACCAACCGAGCCACTCAGCTGGCCCCCCTTTTTTATTTTAAATCAATGTTAATAATTCCTAATGGTAATTTTAGGTGTTTTCTCTGGTCCTTCCTTCATACTGTAAGATAAAGAGGTGGATAATCGGAACAACTGCAGTTTATTGATGAGACACAAAGGGATTTAAGGACTTATTAAAGATCCCAGGAATAAGGAATATGTAAGTAGATTTAAGATTAGTAACTACACTTTCCAGTATCCAAATTGGACTTCTTGTTCTTTTGGGACTTGCTTTCTGGTAAAACTGAGATTTATATACTTGTTTCAAAATGCAAAATTACTCAGTCTGAACCATTTTCACTTATATATTCTCTGCGATGTGACACAAGTAGTGAGGACTGTAGATTATGAGGAATTTGTCCTTAATATTTTTATCATCTATGGATTTCTCAAACACACAGTGTCATTTCCTTTCTTAAAAACATAAAATCTCCACTGGAAAAGGGTCCCAAACTGCCTAACGTAGCTTTGTTTAACTGGTAAATCAAGTGGGGCCTGGTTGGTATTGTTGCAGCGAAGGGAAACAAGGGCTATAAAGTTAGAAGCAGAAAATTAAGACCAGGAAATGACTCTGGATGTTGCCTTTGGAACATTTTGTCCTCTGGTTCCATAAATGCAGTTTTGCTCTCAAGGAAACAGACTTGTAGCCAATTCTACCGTATAAGTTATTACCTTTATTTGATATATTTAGAAAGGACAGATGTTATTCCAGTAATGCTGCTTTTGTATGTGAATAGTAGGTGTGTTCTTAGTTTTCTCTGGACTATTTTAAACAAATAGTGCAAGAACTATTTGTTTAAAAAGTTATTGTTTGCTTTTTTGAACCTCACCTCCAGTAGATAGATCAGAGTTTATTAAGAAATAGCTGAAAATGGGGTAGGGACATACCAATTGGATGCTTACTGGATGCTTACTAATTAACAGGTACTGTGTTGTCAGAAATGAGACAATCCCTTTAAAAAATCACAGTGTCTGAAATATAAATAATAAGTGTCCAGTAATCATATTATGATATCATTGAACACTCACGACAATCCTGTGAGATAAGACATTTGGTGCTCCCAGAGGTTAATTTGCCGACAACCAGCAGAGTTAGTGTCCAAGCCATTTCCCAAACTCAGGCCTGTTTCCCTGTGTTGCCCACTAGGGCTGCTAAAGACAGATGCATAGGTTGCACTCTGTACAACCCCAGGAGGATGCCGTTCACCATGGTCCATGATGGAATGGTACCCCCTGGAGTTGGGCCACAAGCCAGCTCTCATCCCCAGTTGTTTTACTATCACCTTGCTTTGTAAGCAGAATTATGAATAAATCACTTACCATGAAGTCTCTGTCTTGTAAACACTTATGTCTGTGTTTACAGCAACTGCTAAAGTGGGTACTTTACACTGATTTTTTTCTCTCAGTTCAAGATTATTTCTTAAAGAACTGTCCCCACTTTTTAATGTACATTGCATGAAGATGAACACAGATCGAAATATGACCCTTATTTGTATTATGCGTACATATTTGCTTTGCTTTTTTTATTTTTATATTTGTGCAAAATTAAGTTAGGAGTCTTTTGTTGGACTTCAAAGTAAAGTTTATTGTTCATGAATTGCAGCATGCTATTTGGTGTCCTATATTTTTTGTTGTAAACGTTAAACCTTAATGACACTCTCAGAATAATAGGAAATGATGGTATTTGTTGTTTTTAGAGTAGTTTGTTAACTTTGTTAAGCTAAAATAAATCATTCAGATTTCATTTTCTGTAACTAAACCAAATTCTGTAGAATATCCAATATCCAATTTGGATAAAATAGTACTACTTTGACTTCTCTTCTTTGCATTTATAAAATTCGGTTCAGTAAATGTATATTTTAGATGTACTCTGCACCAGTCTCTACCTGAAGCTTTGGGAATATAAAGATAATTTAAGAAACAGGCTCTGCTGTCTAATAATGCCTAGTCTGGTTCAAGGGACCCACTAAACAAATATTCCCTAAAACAGGCAGCAATGCTGGAATAAGTATGTATGCTAACATTGTGGTAGCATTCCCTGAGGAGGGAGTGATTAAATCCTGGATAGCAGGATTAAGATCTCCCAGAGGAGGTAACAGAATTTAAGCTTGGTCTTAAAGGAGAAGAGAAGGGGGAGAACTTTTCAGGAAAGAGAAGAGTCTGTGCAAAGTCTAGATCTTGAAAGTTTATGATGTGTCCTGGGAAAGTTGAGTAGTTTGATGTTACTGATAAGAGAAGGGAAGGTAGATTGGGCAGAGTTGTGAAAATCTCATAGAATTAGTTATGAATTTGGGCTTTATCATATAGGCATTGAGGAAACGAAGGGTTAAAAAAAGGTGGCGCTTGATCAGAGAACTAGAATTTGCAGTTATAACTTGAATTGCAGTGGATCACAGTGGAGAGAAAGAAGGCATGGAAATTACTACTTCGCAACAGGCATATGTAAAATGAAGAGGCTGTCCTATGGTTTAGCTACACAGACAGAAAAGGGAAAATGCAGTTGAGCACGGATCAGGATTGTGAATAGTGTGGGAATGACAAGAGTGAAGGATGTTCATGATCCTGCATTTGGCCACCGAGTAGATAGTAGTGCAATTCATGATTTTAAAAAGGATACGGGAGGACAGTCAGACAGTGAGTTAAGTTTGGACACAATAAGTTTGGAGTATCTAGCTGAAGGTGTCTGTCCAGTAAGCAGTTAAGGAAGGGGTTGTAGATACAGATTAATGATTATTTGTGTATCATTGGCAGTAGGTGAGATGCCATAGGAGAGTCTATAAAATGAGGTTATTGCCAAAAACAGAATCCTGGAGGAACACCTCTTCAGGGGCAGATAAAGAAAAGGAATAGTTGTGTTCTTGAATTGCATCTTTTGTAGAAACCCTGTTGTTTTTTTAGAGATTTTATGAGTATTTTGTAGAGCAGTTTTAGAATCATGCAAGACTGAGGAAGGTACATATTCCCATATAACCCCTGCCCCCGCATATGAATAGCTTCCTGCATTATCAATATACACTTTCTGTTTTAAGTCAAGTTTATGGAGGTAAAATTTACACACAGTAAAATGCAACCCTTTTAGGAGTGTAGTTAGCTTTATGAGCTTTAATGATTGTAAACTCTTACGTAACTACCACCACCACAAACAACATAGAGAATATTCTCATCACTCCAGCAAGTCCCTTTGTGCCTCTTTTTTGTCAATCTTCTTCCTACCTTCCCAGCACCTGGCAACCAGTAGTCTGATTTCTGTCCCTATACTTTTGTCTTTTGCAGAATGCCATGCAAATGGAATTCATAGTACGTATGTAGCCTTCTTTCTGTCTGGCTTCTTGTACTTAGAATAGTGCTTTTGAGATTCATCCTTGTTATTGTGTGTGTTAGTAATTCATTCCTTTTTGTTGCTGAGTTGTATTTCATTGTATAAATATATGGCAGTTTGTTTATTACTTTGTATTCAGTTTTTGGCGATTATGAATAATACTGTAATAAACATTTGCAAACAGGTCTTTGTGTAGACATGTTTTTATTTTTCTTGGGTATAAATACCTTGGAGTGAGTCATGGTAAATGTATATTTAACTTCATAAAATCTACAAAAAACTGCTGAAGTGACTGTACCATTTTGCATTCCCACCAACAATATATCAGTTTTTCAGTTGCTCCAGTCCCTGCCAGCCCGTGGTATTATCAGGATTGTTGTGTTTTTAATTTTAGCCATTCTTATAGATCTATAGAGGCATACTATTGTGGTTTCAGTTTCCATAATAACTAATGAAAGGAGTTTCTTTTGTGTGTTTGGTTGCCATTCGTGTATCTTTTTTGGTGAAATGCCCATTTTGTTTTAACTGCGTTGCTTGTTTTCTTATTGAGTTATGAGAGTTCTCTATACAAGTACTCTGGATATAAATCCTTCATCAGATAAATGATTTGCAGATATTTTCTCCAGTTCTGTGGCTTGTCTTTTCATTCTCTTAAGAGTGTCTTTTGAGCAGAAGTTTGTAATTTTGATAAAGTCCGTTTCACCAATTTTTTTCTTTTCATACATTCTTTTTGTGTCCTAAGAAATCTTTGTGTCCCAAGATCACAAAGATTTTCTCCTGTTTTCTTCTGTAAATTTTATAGTTTTTAGGATGTATAGTTAGATTTGTGATCCATTTTGTGTTAATTTTTGTATATGATGTGAAATATTGGTTGAGATTCTTGTTTTTGCATATGTATGGATGTCAAGTTAATAGTTTCAGCACCATTTGTTTTATTATCTTTCCCCACTGAATTACCTTTACCAGCTAGGTTGAAACCAGTTGGCTAAATATGTGTGGGTCTATTTCTGGATTCTGTTTTGTTACATTGATCTATATGTTGCCCTTTCACTAATGCCACAGTGTCTTGATTAGTTTACCTACAATTACATTTATTTTTGAGACAATTATGGTATCTTAGGATTGCTGATGGCAGCAAAAAACAGAAAACTCTAATAATAGTGGGTGTATTTTTCTGTTACAACAAGGAGTCTAGAGATAAGCAGTTGCTGGTTTGTTTAAACTGTTTATCTATACCTGGCATCAACAAACTACAGCCTCCTGCTTCATTTGGCCTGCCACCTATTTTCTAAATCACCTGTGGGATTTCTTAAAACAGCATATGCTCAGGCTCTACCTCTGAGCCTGATTTAGTTAGCACGTGTTTGAATTTTAACGTGGTCCCTGGTAATATTGGTAATTGTGTTGTGTAGTCATTAACCTAAGGTTGGCTCTTAGGATGTGCTCCCTAGACGGGCAGCATCACCATCTCCTGGAAACTTTTTAAAAATGCAAATTATGGGGCCCACCCCAGACTTACTGATTTGGAATTCAGCTAGGGCCCAACAGTTTGTGTTTTACCAAATTCCCCAGGTGATTATGGTGTATGTCAATGTTTGAAACCTTGACGGCACTGCTGAACATTTCCCAGGTAGGCCTTGGGAAGGTTGACTGTCTTTAAAAAAAAAAAATTTTTTTTTATTTAATAAGTATGTGTATTATAATATTACAGATAGTAATTTTGAAATTGGATTGAAGGTTCACAAATGATCTAACATGATAATTGTTGAGTACTGTATTGGACCTAATTCTTCAAGGTATACGTTAGGTTGCTATTTTTAAGCAGCTTTTAAAAAGTCAACATTTTTGTGTGTATGCATTACTTTTTCCTAGCCTTTAAAAAGGAAGCGTTAAGGAAATAGGCAGTTTTTATGTTTATAGACTTTATAAACGAGGGACGATTGCAAGATTAACGTGTATAAACACAAAAGACAACATAAATATGTTTTGTTTTGGAGTTAGGTATATTTTTGTGATTGGTGACTGTATTACAGTGTAGGCAGCCAATCCAACAGAAAACTTGAGTTTACTTATCGTATACCCTTTATAGCAAAGAACAAAACAGTACTTAATGGCATGTAAAATTGTCTTCTCTTCAATTTAGTTTACTCTTTTAATGATAACCTTCCCAGTTATACTCACTAATTGCTTAAACATGGAGTCTACTAATATTTCCTCCATCCGTTTTCAGGAAGCTGTAACTATCCTTATTTTTCCTTCCCCTTGGGAAACAGTGTAGGTTCAGTTAGGCTATCTTTTTGTTTACTCCAGGTGATACAGTATTTCATCTCCAGTTCTGAAAGAAGAGGTTAATTGGAACTAAGCTCTAGTTTGTTTTTTAGGTGCTTTTAAAAACTTTTGAAAGCAGAACTTCTGTAAAAATAAATTTGATTGCATTTGCGGATGTGTAAGATCAGACATAAGAAAGAATTAAAATTACTTAACTGACCCACTTGTAGTTCCGTTAGCAGTAACTGTAAACATAAAATGAAATTCACGGAAACAGGCGTGTCATTGAAACCAAGAGGCTGAACATCTGTCTGGCCCTTATTTCCAAGGCAAGAGTGCCTGACATGTTAGAATTTCCTTGGAAAAATGTCAGCAAAAAAGACTGAAGACTGTTTCTCAATCATAATTTGCAGTCAAAGGGACTTGACATTTATAGAGTAATAAAAGATGTTTGAACTGGTTCCTTGGTAGTCCAGAGGCATCTCTGTTATTGGGATTTTGCTTTCCAGCTTGTGCTGCCTCTACTGGGAAGACCTCCTTCTCTTCAGCAATCTCATAGTCCCGCCCACTTTACTTTTAGTCAGGTTTTAGTCTTCAGAAAGCTTCCAAATCAGTCCCCCTTTTTCTATCATGACTTTCCCTAAATTAATTCTTTTAAATTTTCTGGTATTTCTTCAATAAGCATTTAATGACAATACTGGGTTTTGTCACGTTGGTTTTCCTTAGCAGTGGGCAGTCTTCACTTGATTTTTGCACATGTTTGCTTCTTTGTTGAGCAACTAGTAATAAACCATCAGGACTCCAGAAAAATACTTGGCATTACTGAAATGGAATGCTTTGTTCCTCAGGAAGATTTTATCCATGCATCTCCCCAACTTTATTCAAGTAGCTCAGAGCTTTAAGGAACTGTTTGTATCAGAGAAGCCTTCCTCAGAAATATTAATAAAAGACTCTGACTTATAGCGGGAGTAGCAAAATACATGTGAAAATTTATTACCTGGTAAGTTTGCTTCTGTTAATAACTTCCGGAAGCAAACACATTTTTCTTAAAGATAAGAGAACGTATTAAAGATATTCCTCTTAACAGCATTATTTCTCACCAAACAGTAAAATTATAAATATTGTAATTGTTGTTAGTTTAGGACACTGTAGAAAACTTTTAATAATATTGACAGACTATCAAATATTTTTTGGGTATATTCTTAAATTCACTGTACATTTTTTCATGAAAAGCTATGAATTAAGAGAGCAGCTGCAGCTCCTATTTATTGCAGATTTTGATTCTATTTTTTAAAACACTCAGAAGATACCTTTGTATCAAAAGAACTGTTGATGATTCTCTCTAGAATGCAGACCCACTTTAATAAGTACTGACCTCTCATTCTCACTTTGCTGAGTGTGTGTGTTTGTGACCCTTAGATTATAGGGAATGGAAGTGAGCAGCAGCTGCAAAAAGAGCTGGCAGATGTGCTGATGGATCCTCCAGTGGATGAGCAGCCAGGGGACAAGGAGCTTGTGGACAGGTCGCAACTGGATGGCGAAGGAGATGGGCCCCTTCCTGATCCTCTATCAGCGTCGTCCACCGTTAACCCAGTGCCGTTAGCAGGGCTCCAGAAGCCAGAGATGAGTCTGCCAGTGAAACCTGGACAAGGAGGTTAGGATTGCTGCATTGCTTGCGTAACTGAAGGTTATTGTTTTTAATATTTGAGTGTGTACCCTGCACTAGGTTTGATTCAGAGCAAGCAAAAACCATTATCTGTGTTCTCTAGAATCTCCAAGCTTCTATCTAGATTTAGGGGGACATGAGAGGGGTCAATATACGTACCATTCTGATTTAAATATGTGTCATTTATACCAGAGAAAGAGAAACAGTTGTTAAATGACATTGAGGATATCTTATTTCAGAATGTTTAAAGATTTTTGCAGGAAAGAATGAATTTGAGTCCAGTGTTGGACAAAGGAAGAATAATGCTTGGTGAAGAGATGTTTGCTCCAGGCCTGTATTGTAGCTCTGTGGGAATAGCTGCCAAGTGAAAAGGAGAGCTGAAAGGCATAGCAGGGAAGGAGGAAAAGGGCAATTATAAAGGCTCGTTGGGAAAAGGAGGGTGTTATAACTGTGGATGTTATTGGGAAAGGGAGAGCAAGGGGATTGGGAGAGCATAATAAACTGGCCAAGATGGTGAAGGAGAGAAACACAACAGAGCAGATCAGAAGGAAGACACACAGATAGGATTATTCAGAATGGTGAAATACTAAAGGTGTTTTATAACGTCAAAACAAATTGGATGAAACAAAAGTAAATCAAATGTGAATCTCAGTTTACCTTTTAGATTTTGGTTGACACTAGAGCCAATACCTGAAAATTTTAGTGTTGGTAACAATTCTGGTGAGATTTCTCGCTTTAATGGGCATTTCTTCTGGGGCCATGGCATATTATCTCATTAGTGCTTAATTTTAGGACCTAAATATAACTTGTAGATTTTTCCTTGGTTTTCATGTCAACAAAATATTAAATAAAATTAAGATCACCATCTCCTTGTCATTTCTTTTAGATTCCGAAGGATCAAGTCCTTTCACACCGGTGGCCGATGAGGACAGTGTAGTTTTCAGCAAACTAACTTATTTAGGCTGTGCCTCAGTAAATGCTCCTAGGAGTGAAGTGGAAGCCTTAAGGATGATGTCCATCTTAAGAGGCCAGTGCCAGATTTCACTTGATGTCACCCTGTCAGTGCCGAATGTATCCGAAGGAACTGTCAGGTAAAACCAGCTTCTTGAAATACTTGTAATATTTGATCAGATTTCTGATGTATGGTTTTAGAAAGAAGCAATAGTGAACAAAATAGATAATTATTTTATTCATGTAATGTTTAACTCTTTTGGTACTTATGTCGTAATATCTTCCAAGGATTGTGACCCTTGTGAAAAGTAGTTACTTATTTGAACAGTTTTCTATACTCTTCCCTACCTCAACTGTGTGTAGCACATTAGAAATTTAAATGTTTGGGTGGGGATAATGGAAATACATTGACCTGAGAGTCTGCCTAACAATTTATATTTTCCGTATTCCCCCAGTACAAATACTAGCTTGACACATTAGTTCAATATGGAGTTTCATGCTGATTTTGAAATTACAAAAACTTGTTGGTAAATATTAACTATTCTAGTACAGTCCCATAGTTTTTAAGATGAGGAAACTGAGGCCCAGAAAAAGTCTCTAGAAATGGCTGTTATTTATAATAAGTAGAACAATAATAATTAAAGATAGCCAGTCAGATGTCTGTATTAACTAGCTAAATACAGAATTCTAAATGATCAGATGAAGACAGCTAAAATAAAATAACTTTTTTTTCCTTATTTCAAAAAGTACATGCTTTTTTCAGAAAAAACAACATAAACAAGTAAAAATTCAGGAAAAAAATCTTAATTTTACTCTTTCATTGATAAATACAGTTAACATCGTGGTTTATTAAGATCCTCTTTGTGTATTTGTATGTGTTTGTGTATGTGTGTATTACCTACATATATGTGCAGGTATAACTATACAACTCTTATAATCAACATTTTTAATAACAGTGGAATTACACATACCATGTTGTAACATGCCTTCTTCACATAGTTTTATATTGTGAATCTCTTTCCCTATCAATAAATATGATTAATCATTTTAATTTATGGTGGCACATGATGGGTTATTCAGAAATAACCAATCTCGTTAGACATTTTAGTTTTTTTATGAGAAAAGTACTAATAATAGCTAATATAGAGCTTTTATTATATGGGCACATAAGTGCTTTAACTATACTTTTCTTATAAATACTCGTAGGTATTTTTGAGCTAAATTAAAAAAAAAATTTAATTTCTTTAGAAATAGACTTATAAATCCCTAGAAGTAGACTTATTGGGTCAAAGGTTTGCTCATGTTTGTCGCTTGTGGTACATCACCAAATAGCTGTTTAGAAACATTGGTCCAGTTTGTACTTTTATTAACGATGTATGAGAACGCATATTTCTCTACCCTCGGGAGGGTTTCGGATTTCCATGGTAGGGTTGTAGCTGTATGTGGATAGTAGTAACTTAATTATTTAATATTCCAGTCATCTGCATATGTACTACTTCTCTTTGAGCATTTAAAGAACTATTTTGCAAAGATTCATAAGTCCTAATTCTAATTGTATTTATTAATGTGAAACTTTTAATAAAATTTGTTTAGCAATCATTTCTGTATGCTTCTTAGTCAGTTGTCTTTCCCCCAACTCAATTTATACTTTGTTCTAATGTATTTTAATTCTATAAAGACGTGAGAAAATTATTGTCTCTTGCCCCATGTTTTCAGAGTTTTTATCAAAGTGCCTTTGAACCTGGGTTAGGTGTTTCTGTTATGCACAGGGCCTCCTGCGCTTTCCCCATCTGTGCTCCCGCACAGTCCATGTTGTACAGTGGCAAAAAAGAAATTGCACAATTTCTTTTTAGTCCTTTTTTTTTTTTTTTTAAGATTTTTATTGGGGAATTGGGGAGATGGGAACACTGCTGGGGAATTGGGGGAAGGCGAACAGCCAAGTTGCTGTTGTTTTGTTCTTCAGTCTAGTTGTGGAGGACGTTGCTTCACTGGCCCAAGTTGGCACCATCATTGCACTCTTCCCGGGCGAGGC